TGAAAGCATCCTTGACATTCCCTGCTCTCTGACACCTACCCCATGATATAGTTTTTCTTTCACTACCTTAGCCTGATTTACAGTGCAGGCATAGAGCATCCACTGGTCAAGAAGCCTTAGGATGGCACAGCCATGGGCAAACAGGTTAGCAAACCAAGAATTGTGTTTCTATCATCACCCTACCATAGTAGGGTGATGATACCTCTATTAGTATGCATGTCATGTTCCCACTGCTGCCTCTATAAATATGCATGTCATGTTTCCATCCTCTAACGTTAACAAACAAACTGGCCAGGCGAGTACTATGGAACATATGACTACTGTCATGGGAAAAATAGTACGCTTTATGGAGAGCGCCAAAGGATTGAAAGACTAAGATCAACCTTTAGATGTGATTTGACATTGCAATATGGTAGTATTTCTACCTTAAATTTTCGAGAGCATTGGGATTTACTGTGAGAGATATTTTTTTCGGAAGACTGGTAGTCTTAAGGCCATTTACACTATCTTGTTTACAGTTTGGCTTTGGGATTCTGGAGACAGTTTGCTTTAAAGTGTATTTCCACTTTTGCAGACAAATTGGTTTAACACCTTCTTTATATTTGTCATATGTTCCCAATCACATAGCATAACTTAATAAAAATGTCTGGTTATATTTGTAAGTGCTTTATACTTTAAAAAAATGCTACCTAGCTTCCTTCTATCTAACATTAAGGAGGGGGCTGTGGGAAGTTATGGTTACTGTAATTAACCCTGTGTGAACTGTGCTGGGAGATTTCATTATACGTTGTTGTTGGAACACTATCTTTCCTACCAAACACTTAGGGGTCTATTCACAAAGCAGCCTTCGGCTAGCTCTTTCTGACACGGAGCCGTGTCAGAATAGAAAAAAATATATATTGTATGCCCATTGGAATGCTTTGCTAGATTCCTATTGGCTATTTCAATTTGCAATAGCCAATAGGAATCTAGCAATGCATTCCTATGGGCAAATTTTGTATTTATTAGCCGTACCAGCCTGAAGTGAGTAGCCGAACAGCGTTCGGCTCACTTCACTTCAGGTCCGTCTTTCACTCGGCTGCCTAAGGCAGCTTAGTGAATAGACCCCTTAGAAGTATTGTATTTTATTGAGAAGAAACTCAGAATGTCCCTCAATTTGACCCTCTACTTTCTCTTTCTGCTCAGAGTAGCCTGGAATCTGCACAAAGGCCTTAACAAAGCATGTAAAATATATATATTTTAAATATTTTAGGTATGGTGTGTGAATAGAAACACATAACAACATGTACAATTTGACTGCAAAGGTGGAACTACACTTTAAGAGCATAGACATTTGACATATGTCCTCCATGGCCAGTGGACCTGGTGAACTAAGGAATAATTTACTTTTACAATGGTTGCTTTGGCCACTTAGCAGGACATGTATAGAAATAAAGGGTGAATTCTGTATGAACCCACAGACTGTTTACATTTTTATTGTGTTCTTAAATTGCTTTTTAGAGCATTTGAGTATATTTAATTGTCAAATACAATTTAACTTACCGTGCTGGAATAATGTGAAGCTACTTTTCTTCTTTTTTTTTCTAGATGCTCCCAAGATTAAGGGTCCTGTGGTGGTTTACACCTGGGAGGGAAATCCAGTTAATATCACTTGTGAGGTACTTGCCTATCCTACTGCAAAAGTGTCCTGGCTCAGGGATGGACAACTTCTGCCGAGTTCCAACTTCTCTAACATCAAGATTTATACCAGTCCTTTGGCAAGCAGCCTCGAGGTACAAACTGTACATAATTGCACACTCTTTGTTCACAGTTCAATTAATACTTATAATCAATACATAAATATACGTTTCATAGATATCTATCTTCAGCAATCACCCCTTCAGTGATATCATGATCTGATTGGGTATTTCACTAACATTGTGCACAGTTGGCAATCTATATTCCTATTGCTCATTCCTTTGCATAAAAAAGCTTTATTTTTCTTCTGCGTGTGTAAGTAACTCGTTTTTGTTTATTCTGCCAGATAAACCCAGACTCTGAAAACGATTTTGGAAACTATAATTGCACTGCAGTCAACAGTGTTGGTCAAGAGTCTTCTGAGTTCATTCTTGTACAAGCAGGTCAGTCACAGCTGATTCTTAGTTTTTAATAGTTTTTTTCTGGATTATGATGATTACTTTTAAGTGATTATATTTCCAAATCAAATCAACCAAAACATATAATATGTCTGTAAATGTTCTAATTTTTAGAATTATGCATCAGATGTATGTGTCAAAGTATGTGACATAAGAATTGCACGCTACACTAAAAACCTGAAAATGTATTTTATGTCTTCCTTTGCGGCAGCACAAACTAATGAGAGCTGAGGGAATCCCTATCGCCCGACGCCCGGAACATGCAGTTTCGGGCCTCGGGCGAGTCATTTTTTTGTACATTTAGCCCTGCTCCTGACAAGCAGAGCTAAATGTATATTGTAGAGCCGCTGCTCGTGTTCATACAAGTGATCTTATTAGATTACTTGTATGAAAGGAGCAGCAGCGATCTTGCCCCCCCGCGCTGCGGTTTTCGGGGACCCGTGACCACGGCATTGGAGCTCCCCATAGAGCCTGTAGAGCAGACAAAGAACGTCCGTTCTTCGTCTGCTCTGTGTGATCACTGAGACCGTGGCGCTGTAATCACAGCCCCACCTGTCTCAGCTGTCAGGAACTGCACGTGTCTTATAGTCAGGTGTGTGTTATGGAGCGCAACCAGCCTGCAATTGTAAATATTAAAATTCAGCTCAAGCTTATACATTTTTTATTTATTTTTTTGGTTAGGGCAATATTCTGTCAGGTTGGGGCGATTCTTTCTTCTCTTCCTATTGTATCACTGGAACTGTAAATAAAGGGACATTTCCCATTTTCAAAGTGAGGTTTGAATCTCTGCCAGGTTTTAATTGCTGTAAATATCTATATTAGAAAATATTCCTGTTACTTTGTGTGCCAGTGACAAATGTCACCAACACAGGAAGTGAAGGCAAATTTGGACATAGATAGCAGTGAAAAACTAACTCTTCCCAAAACTTAAAAAACATGTTTTTAAGGGAAAAGGCTTATTTTTTTTCTATGTATGTAACTGTCTCTATAATTTTCTATCTACTTGTTATCTATTTGTTTCTTTCTTTCTTTTTTTCTTTCCATTCATGATTTACTGTTTCCTAATTTGCAGACACCCCATCATCGCCAAACATTCTCAAGGTGGAGTCTTATTCTAGTACAGCTATGGTTGAATTTGAAGAACCAGACTCTACAGGTGGAGTGCCCATTCTCAAGTACAAGGCAGAGTGGAGAGCGGCAGGAGCAGAGACATGGCAGACTGCCAATTTCAGTGCCCGGGATGGTAATTTAAAATATTGTATAATGTCCTGTGTGTCTTGACAGTTAAAGTCCATGTACTAAATTAGAAAATAATACTAAGTTAAATGTGAGAGTTAGCCATTTAAGACCAGGAGAAAAATAAAAGTATAATTTGGCAGAAAATATGTTTATAGGTAACAGTTTTTGGAATAGAGTTAAAGGGTCAACTGATATAGCAGTAGGTCGACTCTGGTGGACTGAAAAACCTATTGTATTCTTAAAGCTGAAAAATCTATTGCATTCTTAAAGCTGAAAGTGATGATGGTGTTCTCAGCTTCACTCTGCACAGAGTTTTTCTAGCTCATGGGAAAACAATTTAAGTGTCAACTGACTATTAGTGATCCTCACTGGATTTGGTTAACTCCGAAGTAAACCCTTACACATACAAACAGTAGCCACCACCACCACATGTTTTAATGGAAACACGAACTATTCACAGCATCCCCTTTAACAATTCTGACCTTAAGAAATGTTTGCTCACTATCACTGTCATCAGTCACAAAGGGGTTAATCCTTGCAGTGCGGGGGAACTGCATGGGTAGTTTTTTTCCATTCACCAGAGTACAGCTTTAAATCTCTTAGGTATTTTCACCAATCTGTGTTTCCCAGAGATACAGAGCCAAGTAAGACAGCCTTACTTATTGTGCTCTATTACCTGTACTGTGAAATACAATCATCCCTTTACAAGATTAAAGCCACCTGATAATGTTCATAGGAAGTGTCAGTTGTTGTTAACTCAGATGCAAAGTTTCCGCCTTGATAGTGCTCAGTTGGTGACTGTTTCCATCTACCTATGCCCTCCCAAAGCTGATGTAAAATTTAGGAATATGTTAATATCATAGAGTCTTTAAATTAAGTGGCCTGTTGACATCCTGGATCCTGTCCTTGGTAATCCTGGATCCTGTCCACGTCCTGAGTAATCTGGGACAAGTACTCTTTTTTTGCCTCTTTTTAACACTATTTTCTGTTGAAGTTGAAGGTGGTCCCCCTGTTAAGTCATTGACTTTTTGTGTTTGCAGAGAGTTCAGAGGGTTCTCTTACAATAACTGGGCTCAGGCCAGAAACCTCTTATGTTGTGAAACTGTCAGCTGTCAATGGCAAGGGGATTGGCGATTCATCTCCACTGTTTGAATTTGTCACCCAGCCAGTTCGTAAGTACATTCAGAGCTTTCTACTTTTTTAATTGCTGTGTTACATTGGATTATATTAAATGCATAGATCTTCATACTACTGATATTTGTACAATTAATATTAATAATAGTTATTGCTCTTTTCTAAGGTAAAACTGTATAGGATGTTCACCTTATAAGTAATCTGAGTGGAACTTTTTTCTTTTAAAGATACTGTGGGAGAAATACAAAATGACTTAATGACATTTAAAACATTGTTGTGCTATTTAGGAGACACAAATAAATCTTCTCTCCACCTAGCTGAAGGATAATTTTACTAAGCTGTGTCTTGACAAAAGTTTGAGTTGTCCTTTGGCGTTATGACACATGTCAGGATCCTTTGTTTTCCCTATTGTTTGGTAATTGGCTGCTTTGTTGAACTGATAAGCAGCCAGTCACGGAACAGTAAGGAGGGTAAGTAGTTCGTTAAATGTTCCATGGAAACTGTAATCAAAGGCCTATTTGGACTTCAAGCGACAAAACATTTGGAAACAAGTTTTAATATTTAGCTGGTGAAGAACCCCTTTAAGCGACAAGAAGTATTACACTCTAGGTGATAGGCGTATCTAAGTTTCGTTCTACTCCTTATACAGATCTGGCATTGATGCCTGTACAACATACAATAAAACCTAAGTTGAGCAATACAAGGTTTAAATTGAAAAAGTAAATTCTGCTCTCTCACGCTTCTTAGACAGGCTGGCAAGCATTGTCTTTTTTTAGAGAATAACATACCAGCTAAAAGAAGAGTCAGAATACTTACCTGTCTCATGGCTTGTTAATTCAAATGTCATTTATTTTCTGTTTGCTGGCCACTGCATGTATTCCACACTTCTAGATCCCTTGCAGCACACTGGTTTCTACAACTGGATCATACATCACTACAGGATGTATGGGCGAGCAGAAGAAACCATTGGGTGCCACGGAAGAAACATTTATTTGACCCATCTAAGCAGTCAGATACCTGCAGCAGCCAGCGAGCAGTGAAGAGGTGGCATTTCAAGAAATGTGTCACTGGAAAGGTACATATAGAAACTCCTTATTATATACAAGTGACCCTACGCAAAAAAGATAATACTATATAGAAAGATGCATTAATCATGTACATTTAAACATGAGTACATTTTTAGAATGTGTGGAAGAAAAATCAATTTTATCAGCAGCAGCTGCTATTCTAAGGCATTGGCAGAAGAAATGACTGGATAACCTAAAAAATGAAGAAATTCAATAAAAATTTACAGTTGTAATCTTCAGTTTGCTATTTTAAAGAAATTCATCTAAAATTGCTTGATTATGATTATTGAATTTAAAATCCTTCAACGCACACACTGGCAAATATAGCAAGTGTGAGCTTACGTATTTGCTAGTTGCTAACATACTTAAAGTATTTTATTAGCCTGGTAAAAAAACAATAGCTAATTCCACTAATGCATAGTAAACTCTGCTTGCTGCAAAGGGAGAAAACAAAGGGAAACTGTATTGCTAAATTACTGCCAGCTGCAAAGCACTAAAGGTTTATTAAGACCATATTAACACTTGTGAATCTGTTTTGAATTCCTTTAACTGAGTTTAAGTTAATAACGTTCTACAGCACAAGACAACTTAACGGAAACCAGCACTTTGTGTACTGACTGTCAATTTCTGATTGGTTTCTGGGAGTTTTAGGCATCAGAATATTGCTGTAAATGTGTTTTGTATAAATTGCTAACAGAAGTCTGTTGGAGTTATATAGCATACAAAATGTCCACTTAGACCTCTGTTCATATTATTAAAATAGAGATATTTTATTGTAAATCTGCTTGAAAACAAAAAATATATAAAAGATACCAGGTCAAAGAAATAAGCCCAGGGATAGGACAACAAAGAATTTCTGATGCGACTAGTTGAGGTGAGTTGGGACCTCATCTGGACTGACTGCCATCTTAAATGATAACATTGTTTCTCTTGAAAATTCAAAGCATTCCAGTTTATACTGAGTACATTTAATGACAGTAGCAATCTATATATCCAGCATTAAGGATGGGCAGATCATCTTGGGTTGGGTTCACAGGTTTATTGAATCCTGTTTGAAATTCTTGAAACCCAAACTTAAAGCAAATCCAATTGAATTTTATTGGGGGGGATGGGGGGGGGGG